TTGTTGTAGGACTTCTTATAACTTGCATAACTTCTTATAACGTGCGTAGAAATTAAAGAGCTTCCGCATTTTAGGGCGCAATTGGGACGAGAATGTTTCGCGCGATCCGATATACAGAAAAGTGTAATTCGTACGGAAACACTAGCTACAAAGGATTGACTTCTTACCTTGACTTATCGCCCTTCATTATTCAAAATAACAGACTCAAACCTAAGAAAAAACACAAAACAGCCGGCATTTTAATGATGTTAAACTGGATAATGACAGGCAAACCGTTCTTTTTTTAACGAATTATTCCGTAACTCATTCACTGGCAGGTTTGCAGTCGAACTTGACAAACCGCCTTGCCTCTAGACCTCTTTATCTCGCTGCCGGTACAGTGGAACCTCGATTTAACGACGAGCCAGCGGACTGGCAAAATATGTTCGCTATAACGAGGTTTCGTTGTATCGAGGCTATTTTCTATATATTTTACTATTACTGGGGCGAGGAATATCGTTCGTTACACCGAGGACTTTCGTTTACATAGAGGCTCGTTCAATTTAGGTTCCACTGTACAGCAAAACCTCGTTATAGCGAACATATTTTGCCAGTCCATCTGGCCCTTCGTGAAATTGAGGTTCCGTTGTAACTTGTTTTGTTGATTAGGTAAACTGGACTTATACGGACATTAAGGGGGCATGACTGAGTGTCCGTATTAAGGAGGTCTACACTATGGAGGCTAGGTAATTTATTACTAATTCTAGTTTCTCAGCAGGACGAAGTAAACTGTCCGAAATATATCTAAAGGTCTCCATATCATGGATGTGTCCGAAATCCGACTGTGTATGAATGCCAGGGCCTACCAGTTTCTCTGCGACAAAGACAAGAGTCCACAACAAAGAGTTGTCTGTGTTATGAAGGTGTCCGTAAGGCGACGTTTGACTGTAGTTAAACCTCCACTAACGACTACTATCTCTCTCTAACGATCGACCACAACTTCACAACGGACAGAATTTTTTTGTCCCGTCCGTGTACCAATTTATACTTTTTGACTATTTTACGTTTGTAGTTATATACACCGATCAACAAAATCCGGTGGCTGCAGCCCCTCAACAACGCCGTCTTGTGAGGCCTGCCCCATGAAGGTTCAACTATATTTTCTGTTCGTTTTCTGGCAAACTAAAGCCCGTTAGTGTCTAGACAAAAAGCCCGCAAAACATGAAGAGAGCCCGCAATCACCCGTTAGACCGAAACGGTTTTGCATTATCTTTATTTATGATATTTTAAAAGAACAACATGTAAAACGTCGCGACGATGACCCTAACCCTTAATAAAAAGACAGAGAAAAAAAAAAAAAACGAACCAAAACAAAAACGATGGCTACAGTGCCGACCGAATGATAACTGAGGTTCCAGCAAGAAAAGCGCAAATAACGACTTGAAGAAACGTTTTCAACACGTTCTTTTTTCTTTGTTATCGTAACAGCCATTTTCTGCTCTTGCAAACCACAGCTAGCGTGATTAAGCGCGTACATGACCTGTTTCAAGCGACATATCCGCTTTCAGCAGACGCATTCCTCAATGACAAATATTGGGCAGTAAAATGTTATTATTCCACCTTTCCGTGAAAGCCGCGTCTCCTAACATCTTTAAAACGATTGGAAATTTGCGACGTCCTGATTTGCGATTTCTGGTGGGTCTGCAACAGTGTTCTTCCAAATTGCGTGTTTGACTTTAAAATAATTGACAATTTTTTTTTTTTATGAAATGCCATTCAATATTTGTAATGGGATTAATTTTCATCGAACACTTCTCTGAATGACATAGATATTAGTAACCAAACGGTGAACTCGATTCACACAAGGTGTCTTGCAATGGGTTTTAAAAGCGTCCCAAAAAAGTAATGTGGAAAAGGTACGCCACATTTCAGCCGCATACTGTCTGATAAGTTGGAAATTGACGCGGTTACCACAGCTGTGAATGCCAACCCTGTCGACATTTACAGCAAATAATTATGAGAATTA